ACCCAGTAAAAACGGACTGGCAAAACCACTGTTGCTCTAGTTTTCCTTTATTTAGTAGATTCAAAGCAGATACCAACTGGGCAGCCAAGAAAGTACAGTAGTGAAATACAAGGCTCACTCTCGCACCACTAACACCATCAAACACCCTTATCAGGACAGCAAGACACACGCTAACATCAGATGTAGTTTCACATGCTATAAAGAACAATAATTACGCTATTTGGTTCCAAGTTTTAAAAATACTATGGTATATGTGGTTTTGAGCAAGATCCTAAATTGCCATCCTGTTCTGAAAATAGTTTTTTTTTATTCAAGTGTTGACAGGCAAAAAATACAGTTTTAGTCTGACTTTACAGGCACACACCAATTATCCTGTTTTTAACTTTATTTGAACCGTAAGAGTATTCTTGCAAAGCAACAAAAATGTGCAGAACTGAGGTCAATTAATAAGTAGTTTCCAAAAATCTACAGAACTTCTAACTGGGCAATAACAAAATCCCTATAATTTGTGATGAACAATAACAAAACTGAAGATTTTTTTTTCCAGTTTCAACTAGGATTTCCCTAAAGATGAAGAGATTCTAGTGGTTCATCTGTATCACTGGACAATGCTTCTTTAACAGTGAGTCTGTTGCTCTATGTATCAAAAACATCCACACTCAAACCACATTTTATCAAAAAGCTAATTTCAAAACTGAAATTGCTGTCCATTTCTAATTGCCTCCTGGGAACATAATCTAGCCTAGAGTAGGTTCTATGCTTTAGTCAATAGCTAGCATTTCTCCAAATAAAAATTACTAACAGTATCACAAGAATACTTGTGCACTTCAGAGTTGGGGTTGTAGCTTGTCTAGAAAGTGTGAGGCACTGGCTTCGACCCTCAGCACCACATAAAAATAAATAAATAAATAAATAAAATGAAGGCACTGTGTCCATCTACAACTAAAAATATTTTTTAAAAAATAGTGCATTTTTTTATATTCAAAACTCATCTGATGCCTGTCCACTGTCATCTGTCATCAGCTCATATATTTGTGTGGGAACACACTGCCTCACCATGAGGTTGGTTTAGTCACCTCCCAGCACACACAGCCCAATACCTCCCATCACACACAGCCCGATACTGGTAACCAGCCAACTCTATAGAGTCCACGCACAAGGATTGAAAAGGGAATTAGGTTCCTTAATATCTTGTGTCATGGGAAATAACCAGCAAGTGGCATATTACCCCACCACCCTCACTCGTCCCCCATCCCCATCCACTGAAGAAGTAGATCATTAGATCCAAGTGGGAGGAAAATCTGATGAAGATAAGGCTGATTAAGATGGAAAAATTCTGAGGGAGGAGAAAATAAGAAAGAATGATCAAAGTAAAATGACTAACAAGAGAATCTTCAGCCAAAAATAATAAGGAGGAATGAAATATATAATAATAAAGGAATAATGTCAGATGATAACCAAGCAAGAGAAGTCTGTGGGAAATAAATTTAATCTCTTCACATTGATCTCTAACCAGAGTTTCCAGAAGGATGGACAACCCAGGGCCATGTGGTCACCCTGCCCCCCCATGCTTGTTACACCAAGTATTTTTGCCCCCAATCAGGATTCAAAGACTACCATCATCTCCATGCTCTGCCAAGGGACACATCAGGGACAGGGGCTGAAGAGAAAGCTGGGACAAAGAGTGTGTGAGGTACTGGGTTCAATCCTCAGCATCACAGGATGGCACAAAACAAGTCTGGTTTTGAGGCTAAAATTTACGAGAGGGAGAGAACTACAGACGCGCACCACAGTGCAGGCACAGCTCGGGTTGCTGGTGCTGAGTGCCACCAAATTTAAAACTTTGTTCTCCTCGTACAATTACTTCTCAGCAAGACCACCCAAAGAAATTACAGACCTAAAGGCCAAAATGATGGACAGTAGTGAAAGTGAGCATGACCATAACCATCACAAGCACACTGTTCAAGCACGGGAACGGAGCAGCCTGCGCGCCAGGAAAGCTCCAGCTCACGGGGAAAGGGGCTCGTCACGCAGTCCGCACCCCGTAAGGAAGCTGCTGACACATGCGTGGAACATTTGCAAAGCCAATTATTTGTATAAAACAGGAAGTCTAAATGCTTCTATCAAAAGTGCTCGTCTCGAGAGTGGCCTTCACTCAAATAATAAAAATCCTTTAAAACAAAAGGAAAACAAAGATCTCCTTCCAAGTCATTGAGCCTTTACCTTAAATTTAATATATTGCATTCAACAAATTTTAAAACATCCTTTTAGTGCCGAGCACTAAAAGGGGAAGCTGCTCCTGGTAAGCAGAAGGGACAGTGGCAAAAACCTGCTGCGCTGTGATGGGAAAAGCACAAGTTTGGAAGGTCAACAGGAAGGTCTGAACCCAGCACTGCCATTCGCTGGTTCTGAGACCCCAGACAAAATTTCTGAGGGTCAACTTCACTGTTTTCAGATGTGGAACAAAACCTACTTCAAAGGGTTGTTCTGAGGGGCTGGGGTGTGGCTCAGCGGTAGAGCGCTCGCCTAGCATGCATGAGGCACTGGGTGCAATCCTCAGCTCCACATAAAAATAAAAAATAAAGCTATTGTGTCCACCTAAAACTAAAAAATATTTTTTTTTAAAAAAGTGTACCATGTATGGTGTGAAAGCTGAAAGACCTTTCATTAAAAAAAAAAAGAAAAAGGGTTGCTTGGTTGCTCTGTCTCAGGACAACTCCCACCCAGGTGGGTCCCAGGGCTAACAGGGACCCCTCTGACCAATGTCACACCTGTTTTTCCCACATGGTGCAGTCAACTCCCAATAAGGCCGGAAAGCTTGCCACCTTCACTGACCTCCCCAGCCTAGGGATCCAGAGCAGCCCACGCTGAGGCTGCCTCGGAGCACCGAGCCAGCCCTCCAGCCCAGAGGGAGCCACGGTCCAGGGGAGCTCGGAGGTGGAACGTGCCTGCTGAACTTCTGTGCCTATGACCACATCACAGCCCAGGAGGGGCAGAAGCATCGCCAGGTGAAGGGCACGGTGACTGCAGTTCCAGACGCAGCCTGACAGGACACATGTCAGCCAGGCTGACACTGGCACTGTGGTTCACTTTCTGATGCTAGTGTTTTAAGACCCTTGAGGGTGCAGTCACAAATTTCAGCATTCCTAAGTACACCCTGAACCTAGAAAAGTCAGAACCATTGAGTCAGAAAGGAAAGACAGGGAGAGTACGAGGCAATGATCTGGAAGAGGGGTGTGTGCCTGGACTTCCTGCAGAGATGGGAGGTTCTGAGATCTGCTGCATCCAATACAGCGGGCACCAACCACAGGTGGCTTCTGAACACACAGTGTGGCTTGCACAACTAAGACAACAAATTTTTTACTTACCTTTATTAATTTACAGTTCAATAGTCAAATGTGGCTATTCACGATGGCACTGAAGTGCAGGTTAATAACTTTTGCTAATTCACAAGGTGGTTTGGAGGAAGGTTAACTAAGCTTAAAAAGCAAACACTCAAAAAGGGAAAAAAATAAAAATTTTAAAAACTAGCAACTTGATAATCCTCCTTGCTCTGCACACAGTGTGCCTCACAAAGCTGAGGTCTTGGTCTGACCCAGCTTTGTCTTGTCAGCTTGGGCTGTCACAGCGAGACACCACTGTCTCATGGTTCTGGAGGCTGGAAGTCAAGCCTCCATGGTTTTGGAGGTTGATTTGATTCCTGAGAATCCTGCTCCTGGCTTATAGGTGGCCACCATTTCACTGTCTTCACATAACTTCTTCTTTATGCTCAAGTTTGTGTGACAGACAGACAAATCTACCTGTTCTAACAAAGCCACCAATCCTATCAGGTTAGGACCCCTCCTTACCTAATTTAAGTAGTCCCCAAAAGGCCTTATCTCCAAACATAGTTGTCCTAGGGATCAGAGCTTCAACAGTGACAACCTGGGGACGGGCACCACCAGCTCATAGCAAGGTCTCCCCGCTGCTCATCAGCTTCCTCAGCCTGAGTCCCAACTCTCCACGCACTGCATTTCTCACCTTCGCACCCTCCTAGAGACCCGGCTTTCTGTCTGTAGATCTCAATCGGACTTTTACCCTGACTGTGACCCCTCTGCAACTGACCAAGATCATAACTGGTTCTTATCCTCAAAAATTGCTTCTTATTTTTTTAAACAGACTGTAGAGAAGAGGTAACCTGCAGGACTGTGAGCACTCTCCTCAGACAGGACTCCTTGTGCCAGGTACGTGGTGCACGGACACACGCCTGCAATCCCACTTGCCTGTAATAGCAGTTTCTCAGGAGGCTGAGGCAGAAGGATCACAAATTCAAGGACAGCTTGGGCAACTTAATAAGACCCTGTCTCAAAAAATTTATATATTTTTAAAGAACTGGGGATTCAGCTCAGCGGTGAAGGGCTTGTGTAGCATGTGTGAGAGCTCAGTTCAATTCTCAGTATTACCAAACAACAGACAGAGACGGGGCAGTATGTGGGCAAGGCTGTCCCTTGCAGGCATATGGGGAGAGCTCCCACCACCACACCTGCTAAGAGGGAGTCACTGTTCCTAAACTATCTGTACACTGTGACTTGTGCCAAGCATCTGCTCTCCTTCTAGAGTCTAGAATTTGGTATTTGCTAGGCAGAGGATGCATATGTGACCAAACCCCAAATAATCCCCATTTCCAGTGGGATTCCTGGGTAGACATCATTTCACATTTGTTGTCACAGCTCATTATGGAAAAATGAGTGTGTCCCATGGCTCTGGCGGGGGGGGTGCTGGTTCCCTCTAGATTCACCCCCTCTACCTTTTCCCTTTGCTGCTTTTTCTTTATACCCTTTCTCTGTTTTTTTTTTTTTTTTTTTTTAAAAAAACACATTATCACAAGGACAGCTCTGTGCGGGTCCTGCGAGTCCTAGTCTGGGGTGGTCTTGAGGACTCCAACATATTCATCAACCCACTTTCTTGACTCACTTTCTCGAACATCTAAAGAACTCCATATTCCCATAGTTCAGACTCACCAGGTTCCACTCCAGCCACGACTCTGTCAGCCCTGCCCTTCTCCAGTCTCTTTCCTAACATCAGCACACCAGTCCAGGCGGGGATGGCATCAACTCACCACCTCAACGCCTCCACAGCTGGAGTCAGGGAGAAGATTTTCTCTTTTGGGTGTGGTGCTGAGGACTGAGCCAGGGCCTCAGGCATGCTAGGCAAACACTCTACCACTGAGCCACATCCTCAGCCCAGGAGCAGCTGCTGCTGCTGCTGCTGCTGCTGCTGCTGCTGCTTCTTCCTCTTCTTCTTTTAATAAAAGTGTTTTCTAATTTAAAAAAGGAAAGAAACAAAGTAAGTAAATGAGTGCCCAGGAGCCCCTCTATGCTTAGTCTCATTTTATTTGACCTTCCTGCAAGAGTAGGAGCTGCAGAACACCCCCTCAGCTCACCTAACAGGTTGCTCCTCTACAAACACCCTTAAAAATGAGCAGTCCATGAGTTTCTGTCTGCCACCCCCTTCCACCCCACTTTCCCTAGAACACTCCATAACTATACCTTCCACTTGTGATCCATGACTGTTTTCAATTTTATCCTCCTCATTCATACCAAACCCTAGAACTTTACTCCCAAGCCTCCCCTAATATAAGTACATCCTATTTAAATCACTGATTGCTCTTCTAGACATTTTATTTAAAAAAAATCGTCTAGATGTGTTTGTTTTATAACTCAGCTGAGCTGTCCATAGCTACTATTGTCACAGCAATCCAAACTTACAGAAGACTACTTGAATGCATTTCTCTGCAGTTCTTCTTGGTGTTCCAGCCTATCCTGACCCTCTTCAGTAGTTTGATATTATAGTAGAATTCTGTGCCATGCTATTGACAGAGCAGTCATTCAATAAACATCAACTCAATGAATTATATCATCATCCATCTATCAGATCTGCAGCAAAACAGAACGAAACACCAGGGGATAGCCTAGCTGCAGTGAGGAATATCACCAAGAGCAATCTCATTTTGTGAGTTATATAAGAATTAATTTTTTCCGAAATATAGTTTAGAATAACCAGTCAACCAGCAGGGAGAAAATTTTGATGGATGAAAAAAATTAACTTTAAAAATTAAATCACGAAAGGAAGAAACAGGAGGGAACGATTTTTTTAACACAGGAATTTCCCTATAAAGATGACAAATCAAACAGACGTTTTTCATTCCTTCTTACTTTTAACAATAATAAAAAGAATCTAATTTTAATTTTTAAGGCATAAATTCACAAGTATAGGAACAGAAAAAGAGAAAACAGCTATAGAATTTGTAAATTAGAAAGTGGATAGTAACTGAATACAACAGAAAAAACAAACCTGAGGGGAACACTAATAAAACTGACCCATTTTATATCACCAGATCCTGCAAAGTTCAGGAAATGAAGACATTTAGAAACACAAAAAATAACATGTAAACTAGAGTACTGAATGCTGAGACACCCCTCCCCATCCCAAGCTTCTATCTCACTCGGGCCCTGGGACATTGGTCACCTGAGTTAGAGATGATAAGCAAGTCTAAGGAGACTGCCAATGAAGATCTAAAGACACAAACACAAGGGGATTCTCTAACTCAGTCCAGCCAATCACCTGCAAGGGAATCTAAAAGTCAGGAAGTGCCATTGGTCAGCATTCGAAACTGTCAATCACCTTTCACTTTCCTGTCCCCATTCACAGCAGCTAACCAGACACCTGAAGAAGTCTCTAACATGAAAGATGGAAACAAAAATATGCAGAAAATCAATAGGGAAGTCATGGGGGGGCTTTAAAAAGAAAATCTAACATAAATATCTTTACAGTGGAGAGGAGAGAACCCATATTCATGAGACAAGGAGGAAATAGCAGCAAAAGGAACATTTAGAGAAATGATCTCAAAATTAAAAATATAATTATAGAAATGAAAACTCAATAGAAGGGAAGAAATTTAAAGCTGAGATATGGCTCAAAAAGTACAGCATAAATAAAAACGATAGAAAATTAGAGGATCAATCCTAAAGGCAGAGCTCCAAATGCAGGCTGTCCAAGAGAAGAGAGGCAAGATGCAATCAACAAACGTTCTAAGTTCTTCTTAGAACTAAAAATGAGTTTCTAGGTTGGAGGTACTGTCCAAGTTCCCAGTATAATGGATGGAAAGACATCGACACAAGGCAAATTATCATGAAATTGGAAAGACTCAGGAAAGTAGGAGGAAAGGGAACATCGTCCTCCCAATTCGGAAGGAAAATGATTTCCAAGCTGGGATTCTGTACCACCTATCAATCAAATATGACAAGAATAATGACACGTTCAATAGACAGGGGCCAGAAATAACTCACCTCTCACACTTCCTGTTTTAGGGAGAAACTAGAGGATGTGTTCCACTAAGAGGAAAGTGAAAGTCCAGAAAGAGGGCACAGTGAACGGCTAGTGAAAGGGCAGAGGGCAGAAGGCAGCACACCCCATGGCAGCTGCAGAAACGAGCTTTCAATAGGGAAGAAAGGGGCTGCCTGCACCTGTCCAGATTTCCTCAAAATACGGAATTTAAAATAAGTGCAAAGAGTTAAAAAACAATTCCACAATCTCTTAAATTGGGGGGAGGGCAGGAAATAGGAACGAAAGGGGACAGCAACAGCAGGGTCACGGTGCTTTACTCTAGTTTTGAGGTACTGGGGAACAAACCCGTGGTCCTGCACACACAGGCAGGTGCTCTGCTGCAGAGCTGTATCCCCAGCCCTCATTTTATTGAGACAAGGTCTCACCAAGTTAGTTGCCCAGGCTGGCCTCAAACTTGCAACCCTTCTACCTCAGCCTCCTGAGGAGCCGGGATTACAGGTGTGCACCAGCATGCCCAGCAGCTGTTGATTAAAATATCCCAAGTTCCTGTGAATATAACAGAGAGCAGGTAAGTGGCTGTGGCCAGGGAGTGGGGAAGAGAAGAGGGGAGGTGTGGATGTGGACAGAAGAAATGGGAGGGACCACTGCTATGGAATGTCTTTCCTATGGGATAAAATGCTCGAAACTTGATGGTGGCGAGGGCTGCACAATTCTGTGAACATACTAAGAATTCCTGGATTCCACATTTTAAATGGGTGAATTGTGTGATACATGAATTATAGCTCAATAAATCTGTTTTGAAATAAAATATTTAGCAGTGCGTATGAAAAAGAAAAACAAAGTCCTCTGAATAAAATAATACCATATTAACTATGTCCTGCTTTCACAAGTCCAGCTTTAGGTTATAAGTCTCCTGATCAGAAACACATTTAAGCAACTTAAGGAACAAGTTTAAATGAGGTTCTACTGTCTTCTTTTGACAAATGCTGCGTCTCTCTGACAGAGTGTGAAGGGCAGTTCAACAGTCATTTAACTGCTCCGTTACCAACTCAGGCTTCCTCAGAAGTCCCACGAGGAGAGAAGTAGAGGCAAAGGGGACTCTAAAATGCAGTCCCCGTTGAGTGCTGAAAAACAACACCTCCCCATAGACACAGGGACCTGTGCGAAGCCCAGCTCAGGAGCTTCCAGGGGACCCTGTAAATGCAACATGGAAAAACTCATACGAGAATTCACAGGAAATCAGGGCACAGAAAGTAACTCTGGAAAAGTCTGCATGGCCAAGCTGATGTCTCACTAGCAGTCCCATCAGCAGAGACGAAGAAGCAAAATAAATTCCAGTGGCTTTGAAGGGCTGGAATCTAGTTGAAAGACAAGATGGCAAGAAATATGTTCAAAATCATTCAGAATAAAATTCCTTCCTGAAACATAGAATTCTAAAATGTCCTACTAGTAGTATAACCCTTGACTAGCAATTGTTTTCAGTTTTTTATTTATTTATTGGGGGGAGGGGTACCAGGGATTGAACGCAGGGGCACTCAACCACTGAGCCACACCCCAGCCCCATTTTGTATTTTATTTAGAGACAGGGTCTCACTGAGTTGCCTAGTGCCTCACTTTGGCTGAGGCTGGGTTTGAACTCACCATCCTCCTACCTCAGCCTCCCAAGGCCCTGGGATGACAGGTGTGTACCACTGGGCTGGGCAGTGTCCTTTTATTTTTTTCATAAACCAATGCAATTGGATTTCATTAACAGCTAATTTTTGCCAAATTTAGTTCTAACATTCATTTAAGTTAAATGACCACAAAGAATATTTAAGCTGTACTTTTGCATTCCTTTAATTCAAAAGCAACAGGATCAAATTTTTTTCAGGTTGTGAATAAACATGCCATACTTCAGGCTAAAACCATATTTTATTCCAAACTTAGGAGTAAAAAACACAGCTCAAAAAGAAATGACTTCTCAACCTTGAATTCAGGGGCATTAATATTAATGACATTCTCACTCATTTCAAAGGCATGTCCCAGAGTGTTTATATTATGAAAAATGGGTCTGCGGTGTCATCGTTAGTCATGTGAAATTGTTTAATCTGAGGTTTTGCTAGATTTGTAACAGCTGCACCCATGCTTACAGCTGAGAGTGGTCTTCACAGCATGGCACCCTGGACAGGCTTAGATCTGGTTGGCATGAACATGCTGTACTGGTCAATGGGTATATGAGTTCAGTATTTCTATAGCTACAAGTTTAGTCAGAATAAAGTTCTGTTTTGGATCAACAGTATACAGCCAATGCATCAGGGCTTTCAGAAGTTGATGGTATTGGTTACAGAAGGGCAGGACAAAGGCTTCCATTCATACACAAGCATCCAGAAAATGACTCAACTTGAGTTTGTGGAATTCAAATTTTGTTTGGGAAAACGATATGCATATCAAATACACCGTGGATCTAATTTGTTTTCTGGCATTTACTGAGGATCTCAGGGCACGTTACCAAGCAGAAACTGGTTAGGCAGTACTCAAATCCTTCCAATGTCTCTATTTACACAGTAGAAAGGTGCAACAAAAAGCCTGTCACAGTTTTGCTTGAGATACTTCCAGAGGAAGCTCTGGCCACCCTCAGACATGGGCCTACTGATGCCACAAAAAGAGAAGCCAACAGGAAGCAGCTCCCCTGGGTCACAGTCAACAGCCTTGCCACTAACCTCGGTTTCCTTCTCTGTAAACATTTCAAAGAGAAGTCATTATTGAAGATGAATGTTTTCAGCTACAATCTATTGATGTCTGGGTAACCAGAATTGCTCAGCTCTTTTGATTGCTGAAAAGGTAATCATGCAACAAGAATTAAGACATTTAAAGGGATGTGAAAACGTGAGAAACCAGTGAAGTTCCTCAGAAGTTCCATTTGGGCAAGTCTCTTGGGAACTCCCTAATTCTGAGTCAAATTAATGTTTTTTGAAGAGATCCCACTCAAGTTTT